ATTTTTATACTACTTTCTTTTTTTTAATATTTAATATTTTTCTTTTTTTTTTAATAAATTTCATAAATAATTTTTTCTTTTTTTAGATAAGATTTTTCATTTTATTCTTTTTAAAATACTTCTGATAGTATTATAATTCTTGGATTTCATAAAAGATTTAATGTAAATAAGTTTTATATTAACTATTTTTATATAAGGGTAGTTTATATATCATTAAGATAACAAATGAAATATTATAAAACTGTTAATTATAATCTCATTATAAATGATTAAAATTTGATTTCTAAAATTCTTGGTAATAATAATATTCACTTTGTCTGATTTTGTTGTAGTATACCTAATAATCTAATTCAAAAGTTAATATTAAAAATTATTAATTAATAATATTATAAATTTTATAAATATTATAAGTAAAAATAAAAAAAAAAATAGTTATTTATTATAAATCATATCAAAAAGTAAAAGTAAAAAATAATATTACACCTGTAATATGCTCCTTTTATAGTAATTTATTTATTCGTCACATGAAATTTATTATATTGTTAGCCACGTATATGCTAATAAATTCATATATAACATGTGATGCTTATTTTCGAGACTATATGATATACTTTTGTTTTAAAATAAATTATATATATGTAATTTATTAAAATTTTATAATAAATTAAATTATTAATTTAACTTTAATATTTTATTTTTATTGAAATAATATTATTATTTACTAATAATATAATTCTAATCTTTATATAATATTAGACTGTAAATAAAAATTATATATATATATATATATATAAAATAATAAAGTTTCATATATTCTAAATTCTGTTTTTTTACAATTATATAATTATATAATATATATATACAAATTACTAATTTTTTAATTAATATTTTTTTTTTTTTAAAAAAAAAAAAAGATAGAAATTAAAACTATTTATTATTAATATTTAAACATAATTAATTAATTCACAAACGCGTTATTTTATTGTGGAAAAGTTTGCATTAGCTATTTGATCAAAATGGTAAATGTTTAACAATAATAATGAGAGAATAAATGAGAAAATGTTTACAATTATGCAGTCTTATTTCGTAAGTTATTCCAAAGATGTTCAGGGCGATGTGCTTTATACTTAGCAAAATAAAGACCGCATGCTACATTAAAAGAAATAATATGTAAGATTTTAATAATTTTTCAAAATACTATATCTTATTCAAATTCGAAATAAAAAATAATAATAAACTTACCGTTACAAAGCTTTTGGTCTGGAGATTCGCCCGCTCTCCATCCAGGTGTATTTGACGTTTTGCAATTTGCACAGACCCAACCTATATTATAAAAAA